CAAAGAAGATCTGAGAGCATTGAACAGCTGTTTCGTCTTAGTATGGGATTCCTCAGCAGTGCACACCTACGACCCCGCCAGGGATCTGACCCGCGACCTTCAGGTTCCGTGGCCAGTACATTACCACTGAATCACTAGGTCAGAATCCAATGGTCCATATTTCCAACTTCTGCTAGCTCACGATATAGCGCAACCATCACCCAATGTCATCGTTGAGTCACTGTCCTCACGACCATCAGGCTTTGCCCCACCGGTCAGGCATTCTCATCGGAACTTCGGGAATACCTCCCGAAGCTAGTTAGTCACCAATGAGCACCTGTTCAATTGAATTTTGAGGGCCATTTTGGACCATTGGATTCTGACGCAGTGGCTAGCTCAATGGTAAAGTGCTGGCCACGGAACCTGAAGACCATGGGTTCGACCCCTGGCGGGTTCCTGGGTGCGCACTGCTGAGGAGTCCCATGGAGTGGGACGAAACAGCTGTCCAGTCCTCCCAGATTTCCTTCGTTCCTCCAACTGATGTCAGTCTACGGTGAATAACAACTTGAAATATATCCAAATCCCCACAACTCACTCAAAATTCAATTGAACTGGTGCTCATTGGTGACAGACTAGCTTCAAGAGGTATTCCCGAAGTTCCGGTGGAGAATGATGAGGACAGTTACTCAAGTATTATTATGCTTAACATTATTGTTCTTATTACTATTTTTTATTATTTAGTCTAACTATCTGAGATAGCAGCCATAGGGTTTGGTAGACTAATATTGATATTCGGGTCATGATTGAAGGTGAAATGATAATTTAAACCGCAGTCGGATTCGAATCAGCGACCACCATGTTACCGATCCAATGCTCTACTAATAACTGAGCTTTAATCACTGCTCAATATCAATGATATAAATCTACCAAACCATGTTTGCTATCTCAGATAGTCAAACTGATTCTCAATATCATGGTTTCCCTCTCTAATTCAATTCGATTTCGATTAGAATGAGAAGTTATGACTAAACAGACAGTGTGAGTACAATCATACGGAAATCACATGTTAGTTGGGCAAAACTCTTACTGACTGAAGTGAAATAAAATTCTGATCAACAGTGGAAACCTGTAACTCAGTTGGTAAACAGAAGGGCCGATAACTTGGTGTTTGCTGGTTGGAATTCTATTGTGGCTGATATTTTCATCTTACTTTCAATCATCAGTAGTTACATGATTCCTTAAATCTCACTGACGACATTGCTATGAATCACTACCTTCCTCTGTTATAGATGACCATTTGACCTCTTTTTCTAGTCAGTTCACGTTTTATCCTGCATTTAGACAAGAACGTTTGCATCACTCATCGATGGTCAAAAGTGGTTCTCTCTCCCTCTCTCTCTCTCTTGAATTTGTAGGTTAGTAGATTTGTATTTTGAAGGCGTAACTAGTAATGATCCATATATATATATATATATATATATATATATATATATATATATATATTCCATAAAGGCCTTTGATAGCGTCGACGATAAATAATTTAGTATCTACTTCAACACTACGTTATCAGTGCCACAAATTTTTATCAACCTCATTCAACAACCACATGCCAAGTGATTCACAACATAATGGAAAGCTCAGTCACGCGTTTGAAGTGAAGACAGGTAAGACAAGACAAGGTTGCCACCTACTATCACCGATGGTCTTTCTGATTACCATCACCTGGACTGGATCATGCAATAGACAACTGTGAGAAGATCGGCATACGCTGTTAGACCGATGAAAAGACACTAGAAGATTTGTATATCACTGATGATGATTTATGTCTAATCTCTTATGTCAAACAAACTCGAAGATCTACAGGCGAAACCAAGTTGACAGAAGGGGTAGGGGAGAGCGGCGAATACGGTACATCAATTGAACGTAGGGAAGACAGATGTGATGAAGATACCCAACCATCAACTACAACAAGCACCATGAACGGGAGAAATCAGAAGGAAGTAGTCTTTTTCACCTACCTGAGCAGCATTGTTTCAACTACAAGCGACGACACAGGCACAGACGAGGATGTCAAAGCCAACCAGGATCGGAAAGACAGCAATACAGGCCTTCATTAACCTGAAACCAGTGTGGAGATCTTCTGCACTCAGCATAAAGCGTGAACAACATCCGAATTTTCAACACTAATGCCAGTCAAGTCAGTGCTTCTATGCGATGGTTGAGAGACTTGGTGCGTTACGAACAAACTGCAGGTATACGTAAACAGCTACCCACGTTCACTCGATACTGAAGATTAGATGGCTAGAAAGAGTAAGCAGCAAGGAACTCACTCTGACAACCAACCAACCAACCGAGAAGTTATCGTCCAACAAATATGCAGAAGGAAGTCCAGATGGATTGGGCACACACTCAGAAGACCGTTTATGGACATCATGTGCCAGGCTAGGTCATCGAGTGGAACCCAAATGGGAAAGAAGGAGTTGGGCGTCTGAGGCTAGGGTGATATGGAGGAGAGATGGTGTGAGGAAGAAATGAATGCTTCTGGGCATTTGTGGGACCAGGTTAAAAAGACTGGAGAGAAGAGAGTGCAATGGCGACGTGCTACTAAAGTCCTATGTTCCACTGAGAAACCAGAGGATAAATAATAATAATAATAATTATTATTATTATTATTATATGTATATATAGATTCTGAATGTAACTGACTCGCAAATTCAACGCAGAACCCTCTATGCTTCTTAATAGTACGCCAAGAACAGGGAGACAGAAGAGGACTACAAGATTCGTATGATAATATGTGAAGTTATTGTGCTATTCTTACACCCATTCAAGTCATTTAACAGTTCAATGAAACCTTACAAGTGGTATTCTAAATTGTATTTACTATGTATGAGTGTGTTTGTAGATTGTTGGGGGAGTTTAGAGAAGAACGTTTTCATCACTCATCGATGGTCAAAAGTGGTTCTCTCTCTTTCTCTCTCTTGAATTTGTAGGTCAATAGATTTATCAACCTCATTCAACAGCTATATGCTATATGAGCAGTCGTGGAGTCAGGTTCAAAAGATTGCAGAGAACAGAGTGGAATGGAGACGTGCTACTGAAGCCCTCCCTATGTTCCACTATAAACCCAAGGGATAAATCATAATAATAATAATACATACACACACTAATAAGGCAAAATATGCCTGTTCCAGCCTAACTTCTAACTCAACTAAGAATCAATAAGAAAAAAGCCATACATGAAGTGATGATAATGAAGTGATCACATTATTATGAGTGAAAATTTGATACTCTCGTGAAATGTATTGATAATCTAATAAAAACCAGGTGATATAATCTATCGTCTATAATGATAACAATACTATAGGGGTGTATCAGTATGCATATATAAGAAATAGGAGGGAACATTTATCATTCACCCTAGCTCATTTTCGTATAATGTGAATACAAACCTATAAGCACTGCCACACATACACACACACATATGTATAAGTTACAGAGTAAATACTTGATATAAAACGATAGCTAAGACTAAAGTATGCGGAAAATGCCTCTCAATATGATTGATGACCGCCACCGCCTTAAAAGACAAACTATAGATAGATAGATAGACACGTAAATTAAATTGCAGGTTTGCGGGAGTTAATTTGATGATTTCAGATTGATATTCATCATGGAGTGACATCAGTTGGAGAGACACTGGAAATCTAAATAGTGGATTTTTCGTCCTAGTACGAGACTCCTCAGCAGTGTACGCCCACAACCTTGTAGAAGATGGAACCCAGGAATCCAATGGTTTATACTTTCATACTTTTATCAGTCCATGAAAATTTCGACCGAATGACTCAACAACAACATGCTAGCCACGAAACCTAAAACTACAGGGTTCGATTCCCGGCAGATTCATGGATGTGCACTGCTGTGGAGTTTCGTACTAGTGTTAGTTTATAATGAGCATTAACCTGAGATAGATAAACATTAAAGAACCCATTCAAGTAAAACAAAACAGTTTTGAAAGTGTCACCAAAAATAGAATGCCATGAAATTAAGTTAACCACAAGGGGTTCGAACCTAACTCCATCTACTGGTTTTCCAGCAATCAGGTAGTAATGATCATTATTCCTTATAGTGTAGTAGGCACTGCTGATCAGAATGAAAATAAGTGGTATTTGTTGAGAGAGCGGTAGAAATCATAGGCAATTACCAGCAATGGGTAAAGATTCTGACCAGATTAAAGCAAAAGACAATGTGGATAAACCAATGAGTAATTAAAGTTATAAAAAAATGTAAGTCAAAGTGGGGCAAAGAAAATACTAAATCAGGTTCATGTAGAACACGAATAACTTAGTTGAGTCATTGTGAACATGAATTATGTAAACTTCCTCTTTGTAAATGGGTACAGAAGAATAAGAGATTATTTGAGCTCAGGTTTTATAACTTTCATACCAATAGCTTGATTAGTTTGAAGAAGGGTGAATACACTTACTGTTTGTGACACTCGATTACATATCTTATAGATGACTGAGAAAGATTGATGCAAATTATACAAATTACTGGGATCTTATTAAACATGCTAATTAGAAATAGACTGATATAGATTTCTCCCAGTGACCTTCTTATCGAACATGATACTTAGACCTTGATAAAGAGGGGAAAAAAGGGTTCACAGCTTCAACATACCACAATATGAGGTTTATGCTTTTATCGTTTAAAATATTGTATGGTCTCTAACGATAACTCACATAGTAATCCATTAGTATATGACTCAATCGTCTCTATCACATGTGCAGACAATATTTCAGACAATAACAATGTATGCGTTCGTGTACAGGGTGATAAGTTACACCAGTAACCGGATACTAACTGGAAAGTCGACTGTCCCAACCTATGTGTCACAGTTCTACATGAGGAATATATAGTCTATAACTAAAGCCATCCTCATAACAGAGAGAGAAAGTTGTTTAAATGATATGAACATACATATATATTGCAGAAAGATAAACATTTTGTTCCCAACTCACTGATAACACTTTGTAACGCCTTGAATACATTGAACACACATTATCAACACCAAAAAAAAAATATTTGATCATGATGAGAATCCATTGTTTTCAGTTCATTTATTGCGTTCGACAAAAGTTTTAAAAAGATGAAGAAGAAAGAAGAAACAATTATATAGTAATAATCATAATTGTTATGATTCGAAAACTGCTATGACAGCTAACGATCCACTGTCAGCCAGCAACGTTTAAAAAAATAATGGAAAAGACACCATCGACGAGTAGAAACGAGTATGGTGGTTGAAAGATCAAAGGAAAGTACATCTACGCATAGATAGTTCGCTGATTCACTAAAGAAGTGATAACATAAAGTACATCTTCATTGGTCCTTCTCTTCAGACTAGGCTTTTCTCTCTATCCCCATGTCAAATAATAATAACAATAATACTGAGGTACTATTTATCACAGACTGACATCAGTTAGGGAACTACTAAAAACCTGTAGGCAATGGATAGCTCTTACATCCCATTCATCATCATCATCAATATCAACATAGGATGAGGCATTACTGCGTAACGATCCAACTTGCCACATCTCATGTCACTACATCAAGTAAAAGGGTAGTGAGGCGCAAGATCAAGATAAGAGAATGCAGTCAAAAGAAATATAAAGTACTCAAAGGGAGAAAGGAAGAATGATAAAATAATGAGATTCGGTATAGTGTGATTAAGATGCGGATGTGTGTCTGTGCATACATCTGCACCACTGACATCAGTTCGTGTAGAAATTTCATCGGTCACGGAGCCACCAATGCAAGGCTCATCCTACTTCCCAGGTAAGTGAACCGGTCAACACACTCACTCTCTTTTGTTAGCCACAGTGGAGCGCACCTGAAGACCATTCCTAAAGCTACAATTTGCATTTCCATGGTCAGAACCACATCCCAAACACTCTCAAATTCACAACCAGTGTTCACAAGACTCTGCATCTTCTCAGCGTCTTCACCTAACACCACTATATCATATCCACATTATAGGTCTAACGAAAATTCTCCACCGATTACATCAACCTCTGTCTAGTCATGTGACGAGAGGGAGACCTCCATAAGAATATCTATGATAAAATTGAATGCGAATGGAGACAGTGTGCATCCTTCACGGACACCACTCGACGAGTACAGCTCCCCCCGGATATCTCCCCACAGGCTCTAACACACCTATAACTGTTCGAGTAGATAGTCTTTAATAAGGTGATGTACTTACTAGGCACGCCTTTCAGTGACAGACATTGCCATAAGACTTCTCGATCAACGGAGTCAAATGTCGCCTTCAGGTCAAGAAATACAGCTATTTTCGGGTGTCTGTAAGCGTGCCTGTGTTCCAGAACCTGGCGCAGTGTGGATATTTGGTCGATACACCCGCGGCCAGGTCTAAAGTCTGCTTGGTTTTCTCGGGTTTGCTGTTCCCGAGCTCCATTCAGGCGTCGAAGAATTATATAACGTAGGATCTTAGACACTATGTTCATCAGGCTGATTCCTCTATGGTTATCACAAGAGGACTTCTCACCTTTCTTCGAGACTGGTATGGTTAGTGACTTTGACCAGTCGGAGGGGATCGTATTTGATTCCCATATACTAGCTAACACTTCCGTTAACCTGACTAAGAGCACTTTACCACCATTCTTGTATACCTCAGCAGATAGTCCGTCTGGTCCTGTTGCCCTTCCTCGTTTCAGGTTACCTACAGCTTTCTCAACTTCTAGTGTTGGGGGACCTATCTCTATATCCCATTCAGGATCCATCTGAATAGCGGGCAATGCAATGGTGGCTGGAGGTCAGTTAAACTGTTCCATCGTTTCAGTCGTCTCCTCTGTGAGTGAATCGTAGATCCGTCCTTCTCCGTTATAGCCTCACTAACTGTTGTTGACCGTTTCCCCCAGTCTCCTTAATAATTCTACTATTACCGATCACCGCTGCCTTTTCCATCCCTTTGTTTCGTCCCAGTATGCGACTCCTCAACAGTACGTACCCATGACTTAGTAGTTCATCAGTTCACTCTGTCACACAACAACGCAATAGCATCCACATAACAAATCAGTAGAAAAAGAGTCATAATGAAGTAGACAGGAGTGTATAAGACTAGAGAAAATTTTTAAGATTGAAGGTTAATGCAAATTTTCAAGGAGTAAACAACATCTTAACCACTCTCAGTGATTCATTCGTATGATTACAAGAACTTCAGTCACACACTTCACATCTCTTTACACGCTTCAAATTAGTAGTAAACAACTTCATACAATGATACCACATCTTGTCAAACCATTCATCTTAACCAAACAAACTCATGATTTACTAAAAATATGTCCCTAAACATGGAAGTAGATCCCATTAAAGCTGGTCAATGCAAATTCTTAACAACACCCAATATCCTCTATTCCATGGACTCTAAACACCGCTATGTCAATTGCTTCTATTATCACCAGTTCTAATGAGAAGCTGTCAGCCTGTAGGGTCAACCAGTCAGAAGTGAAATGAACGTCAATTGAACATCGTGGATGATAACCGTCCTATATCGTGAACTGAGAGAAGTTGGGGACTCTAAGCCATTAAACTTTAACCCAATGGATGAATGGTTAACGCATTCGACGCGAAATCTGAACGTTCAGATTTCGATCCCTAAGCGTACTCCTGAGGATCCCAATACTACGACAAAACAGTTGTTGTTCACTACTCCAAAGTTTTCAAATGGTTCTCAAGTTGGCATCAGTCCGTGATGGATAACTTACTACCTAAAAATTAAAATTCCCATTCATCTCAAAAATACAATAATAATAGTAGTGGTAATAATAATGACAATAACAATAGTAGTGGTAATAGTGATTATAATGGTAACAATAACAGCATTAATAGTAATAACAATAACAATAATGGTAATAATAATATAGACACAAGATATAAACTATGAGGTCAAAAAGCAAACAAATTCCATTCACAAGGAAATGATACACTTATTCCATCTTTAAACACTAACACACTTCATAAAGAAATCCCCAGTATCTACATAAATGCAAAAACCGCAGATTCCAGGTCGACATTCGTCACATATGGACTGACACCAATTAGAGAACCATTGAAAACCTAGAAGCAATCAATAAGTGTTTTGTTCTCATATGGGACTCATCAGTAGTGTGAATTCATGACCGCCCACCGGGTGTCGAACCAAGAGCCCCAAGGCTTTGCGGCGGGTAAACTACAGTTGAGTGAATTGCCAATGGTAAGCAGAATTGGAATTGAGAGATTTCAACTTTAGAAGAAATTTAAGTATGATATATACTACTAACAATTTTCGGACTGAAGCGAAACAGTTTTTCGTGACTGACCGATTTCTAGTAACTTTGAAGAAATGTTAGTTAGTTGAAAAACAAGATTTTCATACGTATCAATCCCCTAAAAACATAAACTTTTATTAAGAAAAGGATTCAGTGAACAACATACAACTTCAGTAATTTGGGAGTGGTACCATTTGCTAGCATGTAAGCTTGATTATCACCCAGTGTATTATGGGCTAGAACGTGTTCCACCTAATGAGGTCTGAGCAGTCAGATAGTAATATCATTATTCCGTCCACTGCGACCGATAGTTGCTAACTTAAAGTGATGGTTGGGCTTGCATATCACAATGACCCAAAGAGCTATACTGGTGGAACGTTCGTACTCTCAAGGTCCTACCATGCCGAAAAGGTCTCTTAGATAGTGGCAAGATGAAAAGCAGTTACTATTCCAGTGTAAATTACGAAACTATGATGGGGACCTGAAGGCAAAGTTGTATTGCTGCTAGCTGAATGACGTGTGACAGTAGTAAAGCGTTCCCCTTGAATGACCAGCAGTGTCACACTGATGATGCCTTCTTAACGGAAGGGGAGTAAAAAAACTTCGACCCCAAAAAATAACACACTCCACTATGCTCTACAGTCGTTCGGTACCGATGGTATGAGTCCTGTTTACCCGATGTTAGAACAACTAAACCTCATCTCAACAATCTTCAAGCAGATGTCCCATGGAATTTGTGATCATACGAATCTTTTCCTCTTTCAAATACCTAGATACCACAGTGTGTTCAGCTAGGAATTGTCAACCACCTGCACACTTTCAGTGGAATACAACAGCTAAATGAAACATAACAAATCCATATTCCGTAAATAATACGTGTAATTCATAACTATTTGATACCTCGGGGAATTACAGTTACATTTTTACAAATGTACCAAGATTGGATCAAAATCCACACTTAGTAAAACAATAGAGAACTTAACTAACGAGAAGTATTACCGGAGATATAAACGTACGATAAAAGATCAACGATAATATGCGTATAAACTTATATGATGAATAACTTGCTCTACAATGATTGTACAAAAGTACAAAGATATGAGATGAGATAATAAATGAAGAATGAAAAATCCAAGTAGATGGATGCATGCATTAGGTAAATCAGTCAGAGGAGCAAGTAATTAGGCAATGATGAGAGAAGTTTCAGATGCATTTCTATGAGAGTTGGATGTAAACGAATATCACGTTAGACAGACACTTGTATAAAGCTAATTCATTTCTAACCTTCACCAAAAACTTATCTGCAAGATATCTATGAACAAACTCACAAATGACCAATACGACTCATACATCTAATAAGTAGTATTGTGTAAAAAAGTATACAATGATGTCAATAATACTAGGAAAAGAAAAACTTGTACTAGATCTCTTCTAAGAGTATCATAGATTTGCTGACACTCATCGAAAAAGGGTCTACGAGTCCAGTTCAAGATATCAACCTAAAGGAGAAGAACGACTCGGATACCACCTGACATTATCACACAACACTTTTAGACAGTCTAAAAAGTGGAGGAGTATTTCTCAAAATCCATATGAACGGATAACTGTATTCATTATTTACAAAGAGCTCTTACCACATGTCGCCTTACTTACAAAACAGTTGTGTCATCTTCAAACTGAATTCTCAAGAAAATATTTCCCCTAGAAACTATT